GTTACAATTAATCAACGTAAACTCAAAGTCAGAGTATGAATTAGTATTAAATCAAGTGCATATCACTTTTGCTGGCCAAGAAATATGATATGAAATATGAACTAAACCACCAATCATGTACAAACAAGCACTGTATTTAAAATAAATAAATAAATAAATAAATAAAACGTCACTTTGAGCACTGTCCACATTGACATGATACATTATTATATACATATTCTTTGCCATAAAAAAACAGCAGTAACAAATCTTTGTTAAAAAAATCCAAGAACTGTAGAAATGTATTAAAAATGTGTTTGAGTAGATAGATTCATGAGAGGAGCGCAGGCAGTGCATACAGTACATCAGAGTTCAAATCCCACTCAGTCCTTCTCATTTTCCCTGCATTTAGTAGGCATAACTAAATTCATGTGAACAAAAAGACTACAAGACCAAACCCAATCAAATTATTTATTTTTGCTGTGAAGGCTTAGTTATTTAATTGCATGGAAAAGCTTCCTAAATTGAATTATGTTAATGTTTAATTTTTGAATGTGATAAGGGGAAGAGATTAAGAATGCATGCTCGGGGAAGTTTAGGTTTAAAGGGAAGGAATTCAATGCTGAAAAATATACTAAAGTGATTATAATGAACTAATTCAAAAGAAAGGTTCTCCCTGCTGCACAGGAGAGCTGAGTAACAGGCAGACAGAGGACGCTCGCTCATACTAATGATTCCTCTCTAACAAGCTTCTGCTTGGTCTTTTATGTGGCGCTGTTCTGAGGATGCTTGAGGGAGAGATTCCTGTCAGACCTGCACTGAAGTTCCACCGTAGACAACCAAGAGAAACCATACTTTAACTCATTACTGAACAGATCTGCTACAGGCTAAAGGAAAGACAAAATTGTCAGGCGAAATGTTTGTGATCAGAATCACGTCACCAGATCAGATGTTAAACTGTTGTTTCTCATTCTGCAGTGATGAGAATAATCAGTGTTGTTATTATTAACTAAAACTATTACAAATATATTTTTTAGTTGAAATAAAGCTGAAACAACATTGTAAAAACAACTTAGAAAATTAATATGGTTCAGAGAACATAATATTTTGAGTTCCAATCTCCTTCTTTGAATGAACTCAATGAACAAAATTTTAAGGCAATCAGGTTTACTTTAAGTTTAACCAACAATTATTATTCTTTTTTTACATTGAATGACAAAAACACATAACACAAGGCCTAAAACTTCAATTAAAATTAAAAACTTAACATATAGAATAAATACTATAAATGGCAAATGTCACGATGCACACACAGGACGACAGAATCCAATAGCAGTAGTTTATTTAAGGGCAATCCAAATCGTAGTCAGCCAGGCAAGGGTCAAAATCATACAAAGCAGTCCAAAAACAAGAAACAAAACGAAAAACCGACTTGTAACAGATCTCAGAAGAATTGCGTGACATGCAACAATGACTCCGTGACATTAACTAAAACGGAGGTTTTTATACACAGACGCTAACAATGTGATAGGGAACCGCTAAGTGCAATCATGAGTGATGGGAACAAACAAAGGATTATGGGAAATGCGGTTCCAGACTGAATGGTGACAGGAAGGGAAAAAAACCCTCTAGTGGACACTCGGGGAACACAAACCAGACACTATGAAAGTAAAGAAACAATCCTAAAATAGCACTAATAACGGCGCTATCCAAATGATTGCGTCCCTTGATAGCGTTTACTATGCCTGCATTGTTTTAGCACCCAGTCAATGCAAATCAGGTACTGTTTAACATGCTGAAAAATAGCATCCATTGTACATCTAGACGTATGTCTGCTCAGTTTTCTGCATCATTTGAACACCTAATGAATCCGATTAGCTGCCTCCATGATCAATAGAAAACATGAATCAACAAAGTCTTTATACAATTCAGTTTGACATGCTTCCTGTGGACATTAATAGCTCCACAGAAACTGAACCAGGATTTCTGTAAATAAGGATCAATCAATAATAAGCCTACTTTACATAAAAAATAGGCATGTTTGTACTGAAAAGAAATGTAATCACTTCATTTAAATACCACAGACTATTTTAATGAATTTGGCCCCAGCGAGCTCCAATGACTAACAATCCTTATTTCACAGCGCTCTGTAACACTTAATTCTGATTAACCAGTGACGGCATCCTGCAATCAAATTTTTTTTTTTTTAGAAAATTACCACTAAACTGTACAATTGACTGCAGTTCAAGGAAACGGATTAGCTGTGCTAGTATCAAGTCTCTCGTATCAGCCTCTTTCTTCTCATGTTATTTTGTGATAATGACCAGTTGACTTCATTTTATCCAATACAAATAAAACTTCTAGACTACAGTGACATCAAGGCTGCGATAGAACACAAAACACAATTTGCATTGTAATGCAGGGCGACTCATAAATACACATGTGGTCCTATGTGTGCTGAATGGGGCGATTAGGGAGCAGTAATGTGTAATTGAGGATATGGCCTGTAAACGTGGGCTGGTAATTACACTGGGCAGCTTTTCTCTATGGCCTCTACAGTAATAGGTAAAGTGATAATGGAATTAGTGATTGCCACTTATACAAGAAGGACTCGAGCTAGCCTCCATTAACCGTACACACTCATCTATAGCCCTGAGCGCACTCTCTCTCACACACACACACACAGTCTTTCTTTCACACACTTACAGCAAACAGAATCAGAGCACGCAACAGCAGCATTTAAATGCAAATGCCTCTGATTAAAAGGTAAAATTGAGCAGGTTACAACCAGTCCCATTCGTGTCACCCCTGCACATCTTATCTCACGCTTTCCGTCACCAAATAAACAAGAATTTATTTTTAGTTGACACTTCCATCTCTTGTTTTTTTTTAATCTAAAAAAGCACGTAGGATCCAAACAGGTGGTTTGGTGTTTAAACATCAAGGAACCTTTTTACTTTCATATTGATTTTTGTCCCTTCTGTCCTTCTCTATTTGTCCCTTTGGCTGAGTGTAATAGATAGAGACATTGGTGTAGCAGAGGTTTAATATATAGGCAGGCAGGAATATAATTTAAGAGGTCGGTGAGAATGACCCTTATATCAAGAGGACAGATCAGACTTCATTCTGTGTTGGAGCACGTCCAAGAGTCTAAAAAACACGTACACACATTAAACTGACAAACGCAAAGGAAATAAGAAGGAAAAGCGACAGAAGATGAAAGAGCCAATAACACGTATCTTTGTGATAAGGGCCAGTGGTGCGTTGGGGTTTGACTATTTATTTGAAGATGAGCAATTAAAAACCCCTTGAGTGGTTCTCCTGGGATGGGGAAAATTTGTTCAAACAAAACAGAGAATTATAGTTTAATTAAAAGCCAACTAGGCTGGAGAACACTGGGAGAAAACCAACACAAAGGAACATATACAGTGGGGACCATAATTTTGAGAGCACTGGTGAAAATGTGTATTTTTTCCAATAAAAATGTATTTATTGTTATTTATTTTTAAATTATGAAATTATCTTTTTTAAATAAAAAAGAACTGACTAATAAATAAAATATAAAAATATTTCTAAATAAATAGTCATTAAAAAGCATATTATGAGAATAACAATGTTAGTGAATTTGTTTAAAATGTTAGATCAATGTGAATATTAAATTTGTGTGAGTTGAAAATATGTTTTTACTCAGTTTTATATCAGATCCTTCCTACAAATTACTGTCTTGAAGATCAGCTTACATTTTTTATCCACCGCAGGATGTTATTATATGGTATTATGGTATTTACTCGCCCTCATATTGTTCCAACCCTGTAAGACCTCCGTTCATCACTTGGAATATTTTAACAATGTTTTTACAAACTTTTCTGGACCGGGAGGATACTACAGTAAGCAGCCTATGAAGGAGTGAGCAAGCTCTCAGAATTTGTATTTTTTGGTGAACTATCCATTTTAATGCTGGGCAACAGTACATTTAAATGACTCATTAGCTCTCTTAATACAGTGTTTTGGCCAGTCAGCATAATCTTAAGCTGATATTGCTGGATTCTGTGCATAATCACTGAATAATACTTCCTGTGAATAATGACTGAATAATACTTCCTGTGCAAAGAGGAAGGTAAATCAATATTCAGTTGTTCCCTGTTGATTTCCCCAAAACAAGAAATTGGACTAAAAAAAGGAGGTATTCGCCAAGAAAGCAAGTTGTTATACCAGTGAACCCTGTTGTGCAGAGAGAGAGAGAGAGTAAGAAACAAATAAATGTTCATCCCTCCGATGCTGTATGTACAGTGAACACAACAACACATCAATCTTTCTCCTTCCTGTCACATAGTGAGGCTGAAGAGATTGAAGCCCAACTGTCAGAGGGTTCAACCACAGAAACAGAGTAAAAAAGAAGAGAGGAAAACCAAGCAAAAGACACCAAAATGTTGTCAAGACTGCTTTAAGTATCACTTCGATGTTTCATGATTTCATAAAAAAATTAATATTGATTGTAATGCAAGATGCTGTGGAATAAAAAGCCATATGTATATTCATAGATTTCACTTGCTACAATATTGCGTGATATCTTTAAAATTTCTATTCATCAAAGGATGCTAAAAAATGTATCATGATTTCCTCAAAAACATTAAGCAGCACTGTTTATAGTAATACGAAATGTTTCTTGGTCATCAAATCATCATATTAGAATGATTTCTGAGGGATCATGTGACACTGAAAACTGGAGTAATGATGCTGAAAATTCAGCTTTGATGTCACAGGAATAAATAACATTATTAAATATATTAAAATTTAAAACAGTTACTTAAAATTGCAATAATTTTACTGTTTATGTCTTGGTAAGAATAAGAGAAAAAATATATGGCCCTTGGCAAAGATTGGCTTCAAAAAACATCTTTTTACAGTACAGCTATTAGTTATATTTATCACTCCAACTGTTTAAAATGTCTTGACATACTGTACTAATGAGCTGACATACCAATATTCATGTTCAAAACTCAAGAAAAGATATTACTCACCTTGTTCACTATCAAATTCTTCAACAGTGGAGACAAAGTGAGGTCTGGAGTAAAAGTTGTGGGGTCCTGGCTGCTGGAGGCCGCCCAGGCTGAAAAACGCCCTGTCGCTGGCAGCGCATGAGGAGAACGCTCTGCGGCTAGGGATGCACGGGTACCGCGTCCAACTCTTCGTCTCAAGGTCGAAGGCCTCGAATGCGGTCACTGGCAGCTTGCCTTGACGCCCACCTGTCAAAGGGGAAAGTAAGAAGAGGGTTGGAGGATTAAGGGGGAGCATATGTGTGTATGTGTGTGGCAGGAGGTGGGATCTCTCTGATAGGACTTGTGTCACATCTGTCCCTGCTGGGAGCCAGTGTGTGTGCGATTACCAATTACTTTTATTTCACTACATTCCAAACCATAATATCATACTTTTTACTCAATTACATTACATAAAAGCATTCCTTATTATTCTGAACGGAAGAAATCGTTAACCTGTTAAACCAAAATGAGAGAATCAAAGAATGGGAGATCCTCGGAGATTGAGTGCGCAAATGATTAATTGCACGAAAAGTAAGTTAATGACGAATTTTAGGATTTATTATTGTAAATGAAATTCATATTTAGGTCACGACTGTCAGTTGTCCCCTGTTTACAAATAAGAAGAAGGAGCGCGCCGCTTCTCACTGCAACACAAACGATCATCCTAAGGAGTCAGTAACATATGCACATGCAAGTAATGAAGAAATAGAAAGCCATATTCCGTAGGACACATCACTATTATCAGCTAATGGTTTTGTTTTGTTACATTAATGCATTTGGCAGACACAAACCAAAACAAACCCCATGATCTTATCATTGCTAGAATTAGACAAGAAAAGCTCAACTACAGTGCTCAACCACAATAAAACAATCACAGAAGGGAAAAATAGAACAATTGTTTATCACATTTTCATCAAAAGTGATGTTCAAACCATTTTTCAATTTCATCAAATGCTCTTATTTCTCTTGAGGTCATGTGAACGTGGTGTGTTTTATGTATTTGTATGTAGAATATGCTTGTTATGGGATTTTTAGACTGCAGAAAAACGATAAGACAATTAATAATAATAATAATAATTCATCACATTTATATAGCGCCTTTCTGGACACTCAAAGCGCTTCACATAGAGGGGGGAATCTCCTCAACCACCACCAATGTGCAGCATCCACCTGGATGATGCGACGGCTGCCATAGTGCGCCAGAACACTCACCACACACCAGCTTACTGGTGGAGAGGAGACAGTGATGAAGCCAATTGGTATATATGGGGATGATTAGGAGGCCATGATGGACAGAGGCCACTGGGCAAATTTGGCCAGGATGCCGGGGTTACACCCCTACTCTTTCGAAAGACATCCTGGGATTTTTAATGACCACAGAGAGTCAGGACCTCGGTTTAACGTCTCATCCGAAGGACGGTGCTCTTTTGACAGTATAGTATCCCCATTACTATACTGGGGCATTAGGACCCACACAGACCACAGGGTGAGCACCCCCTGCTGGCCTCACTAACACCTCTTCCAGCAGCAACCTGGCTTTCTCAGAAGGTCTCCCATCCAGATACTAACCAGGCTCAGCCCTGCTTAGCTTCAGTGGGCAACCAGTCTTGGGCTACAGGGTGATATGGCTGCTGGCTATTAGCTCTACTCAGTGATACTCTGGCAATTAGCTCTACTCAGTGATAACAATGAATCTGTAAGTTTGATCTCTGTGAGAATGTAGTTACAGTAGCACACATTAGTCACAGCAGACAGCATAGTTAATGTGATGAGAATAAAAATGAGGTTGTGATGGATGGAAGTTCATCTCACACCGTTGCTGGGTACCAATCATTCAGCCGACAAGCACTGAAAATATGGTCACATATTTGGTGGACAAAACAATTTGGAAATTCTCAGAAATATAGCATCACATAGGATTTTAAAACACGACACACTAGATGAATTAAAATACATACATACATACATACTAGTCCTTTCTATTTCATCTGACAATAATTTTTCATTTGACATCTGAGTCAAATAAAATATGGCATCTACTGTAAGATATTGTGAAAATTATTGATAACTAGACAGTTTTGGTTACCACTGACATCCATGGACAACAAAAACTTTTCTCTTGTGTTTTTGTTGTTGACTTTAAAGGTCAAGAATAAGGGTTTTCTGTCACTAGGTAAAAGCAGCCAAATTAGACAGATGCCAACATGGACATGTGGTGGGACATATCCTCATCTTTAAAAACCCTGAACAAAACTACACAAGATGAAACAACATTTTTTACCACAACCACACTGCATTAAAAACATTACTGGTTGAGAACATGAAACCATAAAAATTCAAGAGGCCACATTTGTCAACACTGCCAAACACTAACACATTAAAATGTTGATTTCAGTGATTTTAAAAAGATTTCTATTACTTTTCTACAATAAACAGTTTGGGTTCTACTTGTTTAATCAGGGCCCTGAAACAAAATCAGTTGCGACTGATCTATACAACACATAGTACAGTGCAACATACATAAACCTCTCTGAAGAATAATGTAAAGCGTACAAACTCTAGGGTGTGTATCATTGTATATGTATGTGAGAGCTCAGAAGGCATCAAAAACTGTCACGTTTCAAGGTATGCCTTTGTTCCCCCTTTTTATTCTTCCCCTCTCAACACGTTCTCTTTCCTCGTCTATGCATTCACAATGTGACTGTTCTCCTCCCAGCTTTGGCATTACCGAGAGCCCTCTGGGACACAACAGAGAGCCAGGGAAAAACACACACACAAGAGAAAACAAAGGGAGGAGAGAAAGAACCTGTCTGACAAACAATGTGGAAGAGAGAAGAGATGGAGAGCAGAAAATGGAAATGCAAGGCAGAGTGAGAGAGAAACAGATAGAAGAAAAAGAATTGAGGACAGGGCAGTGTGTCTCAAAGCAGTGAGGTTATAGCAGTCCATTTAAGAGGACTTGTTCTCTTGACCTTCCTGGACACCTCTAATTAACTTCTTTCAGCTATGTCAGCCTTCCGCTTTCAATCATTAAAGCCTCTGTGGTCGGAATTGTGAACAATTAGCTGAGGAGAAGAGGGCAAACACACAAGCAGATTCAACAGAGACGTGTATGGGTGAGATATTGAGCTGATTGAAGTGTGGCTGCTATTGGCCCAAACCATAGGCAGAGTTTGTGTGGGGGGGACCAGATCCAATCATTATGTCTTATTTTAGCCTAGACTGAGTATAGGTGTTTGTTGTTTTAAAGGTACATTTTTTTAGGCTGATTACATTTTTAGGCTGCTCTGCTGGGAAATGTCAAAGTTCAACTGATAGAGTTAACAGTGCCATAGGAGGACGCGGTAGATGAGGCATATGAGAGGAAGAAACTGCGGTATGCTCAGCTGGCACTGAAGCAGAACAGCGAGGATGGAGAGTCCAGGTTTATCCAATGGAAGTGGGTTGTTGAGGATTTGTGGCACACTCCACAACCCGGTTCCTCAGAGACGTCGGATTCAGTGGCCAAGAGTTGCGTCGCACAGTAAAAAACGTATCTGAAGCAGCAGAGACGAGCAGCATCTGGCTGTGGTTGAGACTGAAAGATTCTGGCTTGCTGTGTACAGGCCGCAACGCTACGGTTTCGTAGAATTCTTGAAAAACTCCAAGAGTATTGGTTTCTTTGTATAGTTTGAATTACAGTTATTACGTTCCTGTGTATATTGCGTGAATAAGGGTTGGTGTTTGGGCAGATATTGCATTTTGTGGTAAGTAGTATGCCATACCCTACTTTAACAAAGACTGTGGGTAGCCAAAATGTTTATGTTACCAAAGTAAGGCTCGACAGCCTTAACAGTCAAACGGAAGGAGCAACCTCAGCAGAGGGATGGATGTAAAGGTCAGTAAGCTGGGCTGAGTTGAATGGGGGACGGAGGGGGGTGACTCTGGGACGCCAGAGTGACTGTCGAGCCCTCTTGAGGTGCCGTGGGACGAAACACTGAGGACGGTAGGTGCCCACTTGAAGACCCTAGGGATGTCCCCTACTTGGCTCGATCCAGACGGTTGTCGTGCTGATCCACTGGGGAGACCATACTGTAGTTGCAGCCGTTGTGTGTGCTGACGCACCAAGTACACTGAAGCCGGTAACGCCGGACAGAAGGAGATTCACATCACCATATGGAAAGAAGCGCAAATGGATGGAGTAACATAGCTTACTGTAAAGCTACGTCTTAGTTTGTGTTTATCTTGGCGAACGCTGAGTACAAATCAGCATTAAGTTTTAACATCTAATCTAGTGTAATGGAAATCAATCATAGAGAATCTGTACATAAAGAAGATCATTTGATTATGCTACAGCTAAAAATAACAGTAGTGTTTTCAGTTCCATTCACTTTCACATGTATTTTGTCATCCTTACATATTTATTGTGTTAAATTTCTTTCAAAATCAGCACAGAAAACGAGAGAAAAGCCCATAGAATCGTGCTATTCAGCAAATCGAATGGCATGTGCTGAGCCGTTAGGTCACAGTCTTCTAGCGAAAGGTTCCTTTCATTCAGCTTGATGAAAACAACACCAGTGGAATACAGCTTTAAGTTACAAATGGGGTCACGTCGCTCTCCTGCCTGCACCAGAGGTAACGATATTAGCACGCACAGTAGGGATTTTATTTTGGGGAGATAGCGTGGCGCATCTGGGTGACGTGTGATCGAGTGTCTGCGTTCAGTAATAAACCTCGCGGGGCGCATCTAAAAGTAAATCAAAAGTAAATGAGCATTCTATGATACAGGCTCATTCCTCATTCTTGGCCTTAATGTGATTCTGCAGCGGCTCTATTTGTGGTCCAGCAATCCGACAAATAACAGAATTAAGTTTCTTAACTTTACTGCTGTCACCAAGAGAGCTTCAATGCAAAACTTTTTCTAAGTATCAAACTGTATCCAAAGCATTACAAGCAATACAAAGGCGAGTGGCTCTTTGAGCGCAAGTGAATAGAAAGAAAGAAAGTTAAAGACTGCAAGGAGGGATATAAGCAAAAGCAAAGGTTGCATACAAAGAGACTCTGAATGAATTATTCCCTGTGATGTCAAATCAATAAGTTTAAGCCTATAACCATCAAGAGAAAACTGTGTCACAGTGAAATGAATCATGAGTCCAGAGGGAAAATATCCTTATTCCTCCACATTTCACTTGCTTCACACATTATATCTCAATTCCGAATCATTTCATAATAGGTACAATTTTGGAGGGGTTGTAAAGGAGTTGCATACATCCAACTCAAATGAAATTAATCTTTGCAGAAAGAAGAAATACAGTTAGATTTTATTTTATGCAAAAATAAATAGTTTAAACGAGCAAACTCTTTAATTAAGAAAAATTAATTTAGTTTTTACTCTATTGGTAATAAAAGTCCCCAAAACCATTAAAGCAAGATTAAGTTATTTCTAAATCCATTTATTTATCTATCCCAGAGGCAAATAGGTGGTGATCTTCAGGAGGAGACACAAATGAACATATTCTTCTTCATCTACATTCAAGCAATCTCTACAGAATTCATCACATTAATATTCAGTTTTTGGGCTGTAAATAGAAGTTAAAAACACAGTTGAATGTTCACTCTTGAAAGAAATGGTTCTATTTTGAACCAGAAATGGTTCCATCCCCCGCTTCATATATGGAACTCCAAATATAGAATCATTTTTTTTTTTTTTTGGTAAAAGGTTCTATTGGCCAAGTACGGAACCCCAGGGTTCTATATAGAACCCAGAGGAACCTTTTTTTAAGAGTGTATAGAACCTTTTAGGGGTTCCAAATACGTAGCGCTGATAGAACCTTTTAAAGTTCTATATAGAACATTTTCTTCTAAGTGTGTTCGACTTGTTTACAGCTGAACAATGGCGCTTTTGCTGGTATTCTGCTGACAAACATTCTATTGCCTGTGCTAAAACGCAACTAATTAGCAATGCTCATTGTCAGAAACAAAAAAAGAGAAAATTTTCTGGGCATAAATAATTTTTTTTATCAGCATTAAAACTTCCTTATTAAAGTTAAAAAATGTATTAGGCTACTTTAGGCTACTGTCACTTTAAGAGTTCACTTAAGACATAAAGTAGGCTACTAGTCTCTCTAGGCTACTTTAGGCTACTGGCACTTTAAGAGTTCACTTAAGACCTGTGTTTACGAGGAGGATATTTGCCAATTATGGCCTTTTGACAAAATTATGTCTGTTCAAGCGCAAGAAGACGTGAAAGAGAGCTCAATTCAGTATTTGTGATTTCTGGCCACGTGGGGTCTGTGTCTTTCACTCAGCGAAAAACAGGCCACTGTTGGCAGTAACTTTTAAAAGACAGGCTGATTTTATCAGCAGTGAGGCTTTCCATTTAATGCTCCTTTGTGATTTCCAACACCAATGTAAGGAGTGAACAGTTCTGCTGTAAAGCGACAGATCCCTGCAGCATATTGAAGTGCAGATTTCCCTTCCCCTACTGAGAAATGACTCCACTCCACAGTTCTTATCAGCCCTGGCACGGCATGAACAATTACCAGGTGTTGTTACCACATCTGCTGCTCCTAGAGAATATTGTGACACAGTCTGACACGGAAAATAAGATGTACAGTATATTTATTATTGGCTAGCCTACACCGTCTGTTAATAGAGCAATGTATGTTGTATGTAAACTTCCGTTACGGAGTTTGGTGTCAATGACTTTTACTCGACAAGGATGCATTTCATTGATCAAAATTGACAGTAAAAACGTTTATAATGTTACAAAAGAGATTTCTATTTCAAATAAATACTGTTCTTTTGAACTTCATCAAAACATCCTGAAAGAAAATGCATCACGGTTTCCACAAACATTAAGCAGCACAACTCTTTTTAACATTGATAATAACAAGAAATGTTTCTTGAGCAGCAAATAATCATATTAGAATGATTTCTGAAGGATCATCTGACAGTGTAATGACAATATTATGCTGGAAATTCAGCTTTGACATCACAGGAATAACGTAACTGTAATAATATAGAAAACTATATTTTTTTTAATCAAAATGTTAAAGTTAGTTGAATTTGGACGTTTAAAAAAACCCAATATGGTCACTTAGGATTTGAACTGCTGCTTCCCTTTCACACTAAACGCATGTTTTACCATTAGACACTGCTGTATGTTTGCCTGCCCTTTTTTATTATTTGGTCATGTCCTATTTCTCCTAAGGAACCAAGAGTGGGTTTCTGACAAACAACAGAATTATTCAAATTTATGAGACAATTTTGTGAGGCCTTACCCAGAACATAGATCTTGTTACCGCGCACGAAGGAGAAGGCTCCGTAGCGGGGTGTGGGCATGGAGGTGAGGGGCAGCCATTGGTCTTTTGTCGGCTCATACAGCCTCACTGAGGCCTGAGGTGTCGTGTCGGCTCCCATCCCGCCCAATGCATACACCTTACCATCTGAGAGGGACAGAGAGAAAGAGACTGAAATTAGTTTGAACTTTGTTTCCAAGCCTCCTACATCTCACTTATTAAACAAATTAATAACAAACAAATCAGGAAATGACAGAGCAGTGGAAAATATTCTGTGCTAGAGTCCAGAAACTCTGTAGACATGCTCTTTTTTTCCCTCAGCTCCAGCTATGTTAAGGTTTACTTATATTCCAACTCTAAACCTCATTTCACATTTGTTCTCTTCCCCTAGGGGATAGAACATTAAACATTAATGTGTTCACATACAGTAACTGAAACTAAATTTTGAACTTCCCCAGTTCCCATAACATTTTCTATTACTAAAGCTCAACCAAAACATATAGTATGTCCGTAAAATACATTTTATTCAAACCTTCTGGTAAAAAAAAAAAAAATCATCTTACTCTGGCCTATATTCACATGCTTGTTCAGACTGGTTAGTGCTATTATCCTGAAGGTTTACGTGAAGCCTGGTGTACTTACAACAAATATCTTAAAACTACAAACTTAATTGAAACCTCAAACTAATTCTATAAAGAGCCTAATTTACATTTTAAAAGAAGGCATGTTGGCACTCAAAGGAATGGCAATGACTTCATTCAATACTTATACTCTTCCTCTAATGCAAACACTTTCTGCATTGTTTGGATAAAGACAAGAACTCATCTGTGCTATTTTTACAGTCCCCATTCTGACTGCTGTGTGAGCTAGTTTGCATTCTAATGTTCACATTATGAGAACTGTGTGTTAACTGAGGTTGTGATGACATTGTGATGGTTTTTAAATGCTGGTGCTTTCAACACGAGAATGGTGTAAAAAGATTCATTTGTGTTTAGAGTTTTGAAAATAAAATTTGCAACTTGTGTTTATAGTTTTGAGAAAGTTGTCTTTCTTTGGAAACTTATTGTGAATCTTTCAGCTTGTTTTGCTTCAGGAACCATTACAAGTTCCAATATATATATATATATAACCCTGGCTAACAAAACGGAATTTATTGTGAAAACAACCAGCAACTAAAACTGTAACTAATCCAATGTGTGTAATGCATGGCTACAATTAAGCATAGCACAAGAGAAAATACATTATATCCCACTCTGATATTACTTAATATGTTTGAAAAAGCTGTTAGTTTGGTTTAGGCTAAACTTTAATGTAAAAGTGACTTTCATAAAGTTTTCAAGGGGAATGCTAAAATACAGCACAGCAGTAAAATTAGAATATGAATCTGAAGAGAAATGCAGCATCAGCAAAGAGAACAGCCTTGCTGCAGCACAGCCAACAGTTAATGGAGAGGGAGAGAGAGAGAGATGTGCATTCAATGGCTGAAGAGAAAAGCATCCTGATATTGAAGGTAGTCTTAATTTAACTGAACTGTCAATGAGATGTGAGCATGCGAGAGAGGGCATAGTAGGGGTATTGACTCTGACTGATGAAAGAGTACGAGTTATTACAGCACAGAAACACAAACATGAAAACATCAGGATCTTCCCAGGAGGATACAGCAATAATGATCACCATATGGAGCACTTAAGAAGACTGTGAGAGATCATCTATGTTAGTAAAACAGTCTCTGTATGTCTGTATTTCTCTCTTAGCATGACTGCAGCAGCTGCTGACTCAGACATTTGCAGTACTCTGGGACAGCAACCTGTGACTAGAGTTAAATGCGGTACAAATGAGACAGATAAGGAGAGATACCGGGGAGTAAACTAGGTGGCAGCAGAGAGCACATGCAGTCCTGGTCATGCATTCAAGTGCCCTCCAAAAAAAAAAAAAAAAAAAAACCAAGGCACTAGTAAATCTGTTGTAGAAGTAATATACTATAATATACTATATATACATATTCTGAATAGACGCTACTAAAGAAAGATGTTTTTTTAGTAATCTATCATCTCCCACCATATAACAGCAGGGGCCTATACCATGCTAAAACAAACATTGAAACCTTTGAGAAAGCTCCTATTGAATTCTTAATGTTTCCTCTCCAATGCTTCTTAATGTTTCCTCTCCAAAAAGCTATTTTAGTTCTAATTTATTAAAATGAAGAGCAATGTATGTGCATTAGGTGTGTAATTGGCTGTCGCAAAGAACGATGGGAAGGTAGCTTGGTCATACAACCCTGTCTCCTTAAAAAAATGGATAGATGAATAGTATTATCTTGCAAGCTTTATCTCTATTCTTCATCAACAGAACAGCAAATGCAGACAAACCAAATTGTACCCTTATATAGTTGTATCCTTGTATGGTTATATCTCATTATTCTGTAAATACTAATTTACTTCAACCTAAATCAGTTTTGTTATTGTTAACTAATATTATAAATAACAAAAAAATAAATAAAGCTTAAAATCAAATCAAATACGAAGATGAAAAACTTAAAAATAAGTAACATATAATTATAAAACTAAAAAATAAAAGCTAAAATCTTCCAAAAAAAAATAAATAAAATAAATAGTATTATTAAGTATTATATTGCAGACAAATAATACTACAATAACAATGGCTTTAATTTAATTTGACATCCCTCTACTTATGCTTCAGAATATTAAAAAACAGAAAATGATGGTGTCAACCACATGTGTTGACATGATTGCTTTGACATTATTCAAAGCCAGCTTATCATTTTTGTACAGCGACAGATAGTGACGGGAAATGTAGTTTTGTCACCTCATTAACTGCCAAGGATTATTTTCTATTAGAAAGACTTTTTTTTAGCAATTAGATATTTGCTCAGAGATTATTGCAATGCTGATTAGGACATAAAAGCAACAGTGAAAGCAATTCTCTTACCTGCCCTCTGACACAAAATCTTCTTTATCTCTTTTTTGTTTTGTTTTTATATGTGAAAACATTTTTGGTAAGATTTTTTTTGTACTTTTTTTAGAGCTTGACACAACCACAAGTCACTTTAAATTGTCTTCATGGCGGGTGCTGCAAAACAATTTCGGTTCGGAACAACACGAGTATGTATAAACAATAACAGATTTTTATTTTGGGATGCAAGCGGTCAATTTAAAATCCTCACTAACTGTGAAAGGAGAAAGTATTTTAGCAACTGGAAATTTACACATCTATTACATCATCACCCAGAAAGAACGAAGACAGTAAGAAAGCAACAGTGAAAGTAAGAGATCTTTCAAGGCTTATGTGTAAATGACAGAGGAAAACAACCCTCAAAGATCATGACCACCATCTTCACTTTCATCCTCTTCACTAAATCCACTCTGATGACCACAAATGATTTCTCCAGTTTGATTCGATATGGTCTGACATGTTCAAGACTGTGTAAAGCATGGGCGAGACTGAGCGAAAGAGCAGGACAGAAATATCTGAACAGTGCATCTAATGGCTTAAGAAACTAATATACTCACAAGTTTTCCAGTCCCACTTAATATAGGTGTCTTTAACTACTTCTTAACATTTCAATTCATATTGTTTCCATGCATATTGTTTACATACATGTTTTTACATATACTGTATATAAAAAATGCCTTGTAGTGTACACTAATGAATGAGCGTGGCATTTAAATGAAATATTTGACAGAATTTAATTTTCTTAATGGCATAAACAGGCTTTACTCCACTGAAACTTAAACTGGAATGTTCATTACTTGAACCAAGTCATCTCTGATCACTCCAAATTGTAGTTTAGACACATGCATTTGTAAAGCACAATATGTATTGTGAAAAGCACTATACACTCACCTAAAGGATTATTAGGAACATACTGTGTTTGACCCCCTTTCGCCTTCAGAACTGCCTTAATTCTACGTGGCTTTGATTCAACAAGGTGTTGAAAGCATTCTTTAGAAATGTTGGCCCATATTGATAGGATAGCATCTTGCAGTTGATGGAGATTTGTGGGATGCACATCCAGGCCACGAAGCTCCCGTTCCACCACATCCCAAAGATGCTCTATTGGGTTGAGATCTGGTGACTGTTAGTTGCATGTAATTATGCATATTTTATAGTTATTACTACAGTAATTACATGTAACGAAGGACACTGTCCAATAAAGTGCTATGTTTTCTATAAAAAATTGTAATATATCAAGCAATTCCACAGACAGACATTCCTCAGTGTTTGTCGTAAACATACACGGCAAAGAATACAATCACCAGGACATTTTGTTGACTGCTCGTCATATTTTTGTGGTAAAACTCACACTACATTACTGTCAATCTTTATGTCAGATAGTGCGTGGTTTCAGTCCAGTGCCGTGCGAAAGGACAAATTGCCTGGTGCTAGAAACATATCATAGTGTCTGGTTAGGGCACGGTGTCAGTTGTCAGACAACAGACAGAATCCAAATGTCAGTGTTCACTCATTATTGAATGTCAACCACTCATTAATCAACCTGTCTCTCACAAAATCCATATATTGCACTGTGCATATTCCTGGCTACTCAGAAAAAAAAACGTTAACTTTTTGTATTTAAAAAGAACCTTTCAACTTTCTGTCACAGCAAGTCCCTGGCCATATATTTCATCCAAATTAAACAAGCTTTTGGAAATGGTTCAATTCTTTTTAATAGCTGCTCTTTCCCCTAAGGACTGAGGAGAGCATCAGTGCATATTCTGACACCTTTATTATATATATATTGTTAGGAGATTTTTAAAGGAATATTTCTTGTACAGAAACTATTTGGTGTATTATAATCATAATACATGTCATTCTAATGCTGATAACGGAATGATACATAATTAAACTACTGCGATCGTTGTCTATTGTTACATGGATGCAATTTATGCTGTGATTGATTTATCATACAGTGTGACAAGCAAAATAATGTCTTAGCATATGATTTAATGTCACGCTGTGTTTCACGCTGTTAGGTCAATCCGCGGCCAAACTGAACTCAGCCGGGCATTATTGAAACAGTCACTCGTTCAGCATGGGAAAATATTTAACCACATTGCACCAATGCTTTTATAAACACAGATATCAGATTTTTGGTTTGCTAAAATGCATTCCATACATCTTAACCC